CGCAAGAGCCAGCTGCGCTTCTCGGCCGGCAGCTGCTGCGACACCCTCCCGGCCCGGCCGCCGCCCGACGAGCCCGCGCCGCTGCTCGGGGACCAGGATCCTGCCAGCGCCCTCCCCATGGATCCCACGGCACCCTCGGTGAGTTTCTCGGGTCGAATTCTGTCCGTGGCCCTTCCTCCTTCTACTTCCCTGTCCTTTTCCCCTCCGGTCTCTGTCCTGAGTAGGGAAGTATTCTGACAAGTAAGGCATAGCTTCGGTGACGGATTTTCTTGTGGTTCTTGCAGTGTGAGGTGGAGGAAGGCTCCACGCGCTGGTTTCAGATTCAATCTGAACGTACATATATTGGCGTAGATGTTGGCTAGGAATTCGTGAGTGTTTGTGGTTTCATCAGGCACTAAGTAGTTTCTGTGCCGTGAAATGTGAAATACCCATGAGCGTTTCGGTATAAGCTGTTGTGAATGGATAGGTTGTATTAGTAGCAAATTGTAGTTTTCATTCTTTGCTGATTCAGGTGTCTTGCCAAGCTTTTTTTCTCCACTATTCCTTATTCTGTTGCTTCTCTACTCTTTTCTGGCTTTTCTCTGTCCTTCAGATCGATGTTTGCTGACAAGGATGGGAAAGTATCTTTTAGGGACGTGCTGATTGCGGGGCTTCTTGCTGCACCATGATGGACATGTGGTCGGGTCTGAGTTTTTCAGCTTGTGAGGGATGCAGGATAAGGGAGACTGCTCTTGGCGTAATTTTTTGAAATTAACTTGTTTCTATATTATATGATCCTCACTTCCTCAGTATCTTTTGATGGACATGTAGTGTTTCACCTCCTTCGTGCTTCGTATCAGAGATATATTTGGCAGACAAATTTTTCTTTCCTCTTCGTACAGAGTTACAAGGATACCTGTTTTAAGGCCATAGGCTGTCCTGGTGCATATTGAAGGGAAATGGTCTGAATAACTGGCATTTTTGATGGAACCCTCTTTCAAAGTATCAAGGTCAAGAAACAATATACAAGATTTTAGATTCAGGAGATGCAAATACTGGGCTATGTGTGATTTATTAAAAAAAAATGGAGATTGTTCTAGTACCGATATCCAACTGTGACGAACAAAAACTCTCTAACAGTTTAAAGTTAGAATGTGTATGTTTATTCGACGCCAGGTAGTGTGTGAGATAGCTCCCAAATACACACCGCACCTTCCAGGTGACTACAGAGCCTTTTTATCCATACAAGTATTGAATACACAAAATACAAATACATATTCATCATTTTGTTACATCCCCTTCCCCACTTTGTATGCTAATCACTCCAAAAGCTATTAAGAATGCGTAGTTTGTCCCTTGAAATGGGTCAGCGGTCCCAAAATGAGAAAGTAAATGAAGTCTTCCTCGTTCTGACCTTTCTACCTTTTCAATCCAAATACGTCAAATGAACTCTTGGTAGAACTCCCATTCCTTGTCTTCAATTGTTTTCAGAACAGAGGAGGCCCACAATTGTCTTATGTTCCTAAAAGCTCTTTGTCAGTTTCTATATTCTTGATTATAAACCCAGCTAAATAAATATTGTGCTGACAAGCAATCAATTCTTAATTAACTACTAACTCCTAACTTCATCAAGGCCTACTAGTTTATTTTAATTAAATCTATTAAGGCTTATTTCTAAATAAAATCTTAGCTCCTCTAAAATCTCAAAATTCCTTAAAATTTACTTTTCATGTGTGTGAAAGACTGCTAATGGATACAAGATTTCAGTGTCCATTTCTAGTATAATGTAATGCAATTTGCTCCCTCCCAATATGTGTGTCTTAACAGATATTACTACAGTTCTATTGAGAGCCGTGGGGTATTTACAGGTTAATGGAATGTATTTAATAAATAGCCTTGTATATTCCAATCTGAAATGTCACAATGGGAGCTTTGCAATAAGGAAATTCATTACATCCCTACTTTTAATATTTAGATTATGTATTTCCTCCAAGAGCTGTAATCCAGGGGAGCATGATCCATTCATTTCTTCAGCTGTTATCTTATTGTCTTGTTGTTTGTACTGATCTCAAACTGGGCCTTTGTATCCGATAATATTTGATCTCAGCCCTTATATTTGCTTGGCTGTCCCATATGTGCCTTTCATTTTTACAACACGACAGGGAAAGTCATTGATACATGTGTTTCCTTCAATTTTTAATGGAAGAATTTGTCTTATTTCTCAGGTGCACACATTAAGAAGTCAAATATTAGCCATTGTAGATTGTGTCTGCAACTTTTCTTGCAGTGGAGTACATTTGCTAACGACAATAAACCATACAATCTGTAATGAGTTTGAAGAGACTCTTGCAGGTGCAGTGGAGGGAGGAAGTACTGCTGGAGAGACAGCAGGTGTTTCTTTAACTTCAATGGTCCATTGCTGGACTACACAAAATGAATATGCTCAGATTAGAAATGACCAAAATGTGGATTCATACATTTGCTTTCCTGTAATGGGCTACTCTGTGTGAATAATAGTTAAACTGCTGACTTGTTTTTCATGACCAGGTAAAGGTGGGCCTGCGTGTGTCTAAAACTTTATCTGAAAATAAAATCACTGATCTTACTTGACAGGGAGAGACTGGCCCCTAAGCAGACAAAGGTGGGTTCAATGATCCAGTAATCTGGGTGTGCCTTCATGTCATGCCTAGTGCCAAGGCCTGTGCCACTTATATCAAGTGCCCTTTTCCTGTGTCCAGAGGAGGATGGCAATCCTCCAATGAATTTGTCTGCAAGCAATGCCCAGGAAAGTGCACGCTTCAGGGATTCTGTGTCTAAGAAATGCTGTGGGAAATGTCATTTCTCCAGCTATATGTCCTTGTTAAGTTATGAGGTAGAATTTCATTGTGGTTGTACTAAGCTTTCCCAAGCCTTGAGCAGACCTTCAGATGTTATTAATGGCTCTTTCTTGTATTATGTTACTACTGATAGTTTGTTGGTAGTGAAATTGGTAAGATTGCAGGAATGGGAGAGTTGAATTTACCTGCAGAGTCTGGGTTTCTGGCTTTTTATTTGAAGCATGTGTCAGAAAGTCATTAATTTTATCCTCTGTCATGTCTGATACACCTCTTCCCTGTGAGCGGTAGCTGTTGGATGTGGACATAAACATCACATTAATGGTTGCAGAGTGACATATGTTCTAGAATGTCCATGTGCTTAGGAAGAATGATGATGTCTTTGAGTTGATTGTGACCTGAGTCTTTAATTGAGTTGCCTATTGCTTATGCCTGTTAGAACATGTTACATTTCTTCAAGTATCAGTGATGAGCAGAGTCCATATGGGTGGACCTGTGTTGTGATCCCTGTTCCTCATAAGGAGAAGTTGTGTGGAAAACTTCTTCCACTGGTGTCTGTCTGCAAAGGGGTCCCTGTTGGGTGATGTCTGAGCATTCTGCCTGCACAGAGACAGGGCAGGTGAAAGAGCTGCTGAAAAATCTAATGGGTTGGTGTGGATATTCAGTATTTCCCAGGTGTCAAATGGATCACATAGTTATGGTTCTGTGCATTTTTCCTTGCTTTTTCTTCAAAGAAATTACTTGGAGAGTCTTACCTATGTATATTATATGTGTTTCTTATGTACTTGCTACAGCTGACACAAGGTAGGCCTTGAAAGTTACTTAGGCCTTTAAACTTAGTTAGGCCTTCAAAGTTTGGCCTTTCAACTTAGTTAGGCCTTCAAAGTTAATTAGGCCTTCAAAATCTGTTAGGCCTTTAAAATTAGTTTGGTGTTTTAAACTTAGTTAGGCCTTTTAAACTTTGTTAGGCCTTCAAACTCTGTTAGGCCTTTAAATCGAGGCCTTCAAAGTTAGGCCTTCAAATCTGTGGGGCATGACCAGGCCAGGAAAGCTGGTGAAGCTCTTGAGTGTTTGATGCAGTCAAGTCACACTTGTAGTCCAGAAGAAGATTTCAAGGTCACACCTCCAGCCTGAGACCTCAGTGGGTTCCAGGTGCTCTCAGGGATGAATTTCCTTGCCCACAGAAAAGGCTGAGATTTCCTCCTGGTGAGCTTCTCTGAAAGAACTCCTATTGTATACCTGCAATGCTTGTGCGGGTTCCTTTTTTCTTTTCTTGACATGTCATTACAGCTGATGTGCAATGAGGACCTGTGAAGGGGGTTAATCTCTGTTCTAATTTTGTCATATGTTAGGAGATGTAAAAATGACCCTAGGAGAAGCCTCATTTTTGTGGATCTGTGCATGTGATAAGAGAGGAAGTGCATAGCTTGATAAAGAGTTCATGAATGTCGTAATTACATTTTCCACCTTGGGTCTCAGTTCAGGCTCTGTTTCCTGGCAGGCCATGGTTCATGTTTCTTTCCCCCTCATGAGTGCTGCCTTGCAGGAAATAGTAACTTCCATTGAGAACCAAATGAAGACAGAATGTTGTGTGTGAGGAAAATGAAAAATTGTTTAACTCAAGTGGGTAGCTGTAAAATGTTGCTATCCAATTCCACTTCCCTGGGGATTCTTCTTGTGTCTCTGAGGATTACACGGCTACGTGCTGCTGTCTGTGATTTCCTGCACTGCTCAGGCCCTGACGTGTCACAGTAGCCAATGATTGGCCCCATGGATGGCAGTGGGAGGTATTTTGTTTAGCTTCTTTGCTATTGTGAGTGCCAAGGATTTCTGTTGTTCTGTTGCTTAGTAAAGTCATTTAGTCCAGTCAGAGAGACCTCATAGTCCTTTAATATTCCTGCAGCTTGCCTAACTTGCACCTTGAGGCCTCAGTGTGTTTCCATGGGAAAGAATTTTTAAGGCTGTCTTGAGGTGAAGCACCATAAAATCACAGTACTGAAATATCTCCCCCTCTCTGATGGGGTCAGATGTAAGTTTGGGGTTTGTATATGAATCTTCAGAATTAATTGAAAACCATTCGGCTGATTTTGCAGTCCCAAAATGTACTGGGGAGATGTTGGGACTTTTGCGTAAAGGTTAGGAAAATCAAAATAATGGAAATATTAAATCAAGAATTGTGGCAGGCCCTTTTTATTGAGTTTCCACCAAAAGCACAGAAGGTTTTTTGTATGAAAGGAGAGTCATTCTAAGGACAGACACAAGACAGAGTCTGTACTGCTTTGCACTTTCTTA